GCCACTACAACTAATCTCCGGGGACATCCCTTCAAACTGTATGTGCCCCAAGAACGATTGGATGTGAGGAAGTATTTTTTCTGTAATCGGGTCGTGGACCCGTGAAATAACTTTCCCGAGGCGATTGTTATGTCCCAATATGTGGAAACATTCAAACACCGACTTGATATACACATGCTACTGCACAACGTGAACTATGTGACAAATTAACCTTGAAACACCACTGCACCGTGTGACGGTCTATATTTTCCTGACTGAAAACTTGTTAACGTTGTTTATAATTTTAGAGATTTTGATGTGACAAATAGGGAGTTCAAAGGCGCGAGCCTATTTTTCCTCAAATATACTGACTGACTAAAAGCTTGTGCTGACTGCGTTCAGGCAGGCCTCAGAGAGCACGAGACAGCGGTGGCAGCTGCTTAAGTAGGATTGCGGAGCAAGTTCAAGTGTTCTGTTATTGGTGTATTGCAATTGCCGAGGGGATATCGCCTGTAAAGGCCCCCCGCTTCGTGGCGGTGGCTTTTCGTGTTTGAGTAGCACTTGAGAAACCGCGACTAGCTGGGCATGCGTATACGTACGTATGTGCGCATGTAAATGTGAAACTGAATAGCAATCAAGTGGTCTTGAGGTCAACAAATTGAAACAGCCGCCTGTAAAGACACACGACATTGACGCAGCGAGCATTGGGAGGGGGAACAGCATTAATGACCGTCCGCCACTCCACTTAAGTGTCGTATAACCATGTCATTTATCAGGGTTTTTATGGCTGTCGAAATGGCCGGAAAGGTGTTTTGGATGAAAAATCGTCAACTGACATATGTCGATGGCGTCTAGAGAAGAGCACCGCGGATGATCCTTTCCAGTACATTGAGGCGGCCTCATTTTAGAGCGCGAGCTCAAATATGTTGCACAAAGGAGACAAAATACGGAATTTTTGTCGGTCTGTATAAGGCTGATCTTGCTTATATCTGGACGTGGGCTACGGAATTGCAAAATAACATCGAACCTTCGGAGTTTGCTCAAAAAGAGCGAAAGGTACGATTTCAAGATCCACACCTATCCAATGCAGGATAGTTGGGAGCAGAGCCACAGAGTTTTCAGTAACAACTAGCGCGGAAGCCCGGCTTCGCCTTGGGCTTCCTTACATGTTG